TAATTACTGATTCAAATTACACCAAATTTTATATATTATAGATAGAATCTCAAACTATATTGCATAAAAATTTTATATAATTTAAATTAGCAGTTATATAAATATAGCATTAATATTATATATTACAAATTATAAAGAGTAAATAAAAGTTTCTGAGTATTATTTTTTATATTGAATTGCTTAAAATCTACTGATTCAAATTTGACCAAAATTTTATATGCTAATAATAATATCTTAAACTATATTTTATAAAAGTTTTATATAATTTTAATCAGTTTTTTTTAAAGATACAATAATGCAATATTTTATTAATTAAAAATAAATTCAGTAAAAAATACATGAAAATCCCAAAACATATACAAATATAGAAAATAAAAATTGCTGCCTAATAATTTTTAAAAGCTTAGGCTAACTTCTACTAAACTAATAGATTGTTTTATCTGATTTTGATCACAAAATTAATAGAGTAATCATTAATATTAAACTAAATAAGGAGAAGAACAGAGAAGAACAACTAGTTATTATTAATAGAAATTTTTTATAAAGTTATATAATAAAAAATTGGTGTGTATTAAGCAGTTAGTAGTAAAATATATATACAGTCAACTCTTGTTATAATGAACTCTATGTCTTAGATCTCAACTTCACTATAAGGCTATAGTGAAGATTTTAAGAGATTTGATTGGCCAATTTGCTATAAAAAGAGTATTTTTATTATATTTGTTCAAAAAATTCGTTATATCAAGAGTTCGCTATATTAAGAGTTGACTGTATATAAAGTAAAGTTAACTCAGATCTTTTTTACTAAAAAGAATTATGTATTGTATTTAAAATTGCTTGTCTAAACTTATTTTGATTTGACAAAATGTCTAAACTTTAGTTTTGCTTATTTTTTACTAAAGTTTTAATATAATTTTGCATTTTTATAAGCTTTAATATAGATTTACCTTTTTCAGAATTTTATAGATTTTTAATTTAGTTTTAATATAATTTCTCTAAATTTTACCTTTTTTTATTTAGATAACTTGTAAACTTTTAGGTTTTGTCTAATAATCTTAATTGTATTATTATACTTTTTAAATATATATAAAGTTTAAGTTAAAAATTAAAAAGGTTTAAATTATTCTTAAATTTAATAATTTCTATAGATAAAGAAATATATTAAGAAAAATATTTATAAATATAAAATAGCTAAAATAAAGAGAATAAATTTGATGTTATATATTATAATATAAAAATAATGTGATTTTAATAAACAAATATAAAATATTTGTAAATATGAGAATAGAATTACTTTAAATAGAAGAAGCTAAAAAATTAGGCATTTAGTAAATTTACTATTATTTGTAGATTTTAAGTAAGATGTATATCACAATTAAAAAAATAGCATAATTAAGTTGCAACTTATGATATAATTAAATTTTTTTATGGTTCAATTAAGTTACAACTCAATTGAAATTTAAAAATAATTATGAAGATTATCTTTAGTTTTAAGCAATTTAAAAAGAACATTACAGTTATTTATACATTAAAGAATATAATAATTTTAAATAAGCTAGTCTATATAAAGTAAGTAATTCTCAAAATTAGTAAAATTATAATATTTAACTATTAATATAGTTACATAAAGCTTTTTTATAAAGATAAAGTTTATCTATTTTATACAGATATAGATTTACTTATTATATGAATAAAAACTAAGAATATCAGATAAAAAGGCTAGATATTTTCAATATTAATTATTTAGAAAACTTATTTTTAATGAAAGATAAAATAAAAAAGATTTAATAAATAGATGCAGATTTTAAAAAGAAGTTAGAGAATCAAGAATCTAAAAATCTCAAGTGTAAAGAATTGAAAAATTATAATATTAAGAAATATATGATTAAAGAGAATTTTGATATAATAAATTTCTAGAATGTTTTAAGATTAAAGAACTAATCCAGCATAATTTATATAACTTCTGAAATTATAATTATCAAAATATATTTAAAGAAGTAAATAAGTTGGAATTAAATTTATATATAATTCTTAACATAATTATTTAGAATTTTTTATTAGTACAAAAAAGTATTATTATAATAATTTCTATCTAATTAATATAAAAATTAAAATAGTAATTTTTTAGCTAAAAAATTATAAAATTCTTCAATCTTAACTACTTTCTAATATTTATCATACTAATAATAGATAATATTTTTAATAAGATAATATAAAGTTTACCTATTAATTTTTGTGAAAAATAATATTTTAGTAATTAATTGACTTGTTAATTTAGACTTAATCAAAAAATTATAAAGAAAAATTAGATGAAAAATTTAATAATTAGATTAGAAAAAAAATATATTTAATACAAATGCTTTTCAAAATAAAATTCAAAAAGAATTAAAATCTCAATCAATATATTTTCTTTAATTTAGCTTATTAAATTAAATTAGTATAATTATAAAAAAAAAGGTATATAATAAATTATTAAATTTTTTTGTAATATATTTATTTGTATATTATAAATTATTAATACAGTAATATAAATTAGAAATAAATAAAATAAAATTTATTATACTTTTATATATTATAATAAATTTTAGATATTTTATATTATAACAAGTATTAAATTTTATTTAATAAAATTTAAATACTTCTATATAGACATTGGTGAATTAATTTTTATAAATACTTAGTAATATCTAAGTAACTTTTAAAAAATAAAAAATAATATAATAAAAGTAAAACTTCTTATCATGACATAGAAGTTTTATAAAAAATATTTTTTTAAGTAAAAAATTACTAGCATACAAAAATATATTTTTATTAATTAAAGTTTTTTTTATTATTATAATAAAACACATACATAAAATTAATTGATCATAAATTATATAAATTAAAGTTATAAAAATAGCATTGTAAAAGGGCAAAAAGGGTAAAATATATGATAATTTAATAAAAAATTATACTAACTATTTAAAAAAATTGCAAATAAAAAAGAATCAAATAATTATATTAAGACAATTATAATTAAAATATTTTTTAAAGAAGAAATATATACTTTAAGATTAAAAAATTATTGCAAAAGTATGGAGAAATAATTGTATATCAATCTAGAAGAATTATATAAATTTTATTATTATATAGTTAAAGATAAAAATTATGAAAAGATAAATAATAAAATAAAATAGATGCTAAAAAAATAATAATCTAGTAGTTTTTGATAAACAAAGATAAAGATATTAGAAGATTTAAAGAATTATTAGTATAAGTTATAAACTTTTTAATTTATTGTAAATAAAAAAATTATATTATTTAATTATTTATGAATGTTTATTTAGTTAATAATAATATATTCTATTAATATTATAAAAATTACTTTATTTTAATCTTTAAACTAACATAAAATAATTTGAAAATTATGATCTACAAAAATAAGTGAGAGATTACATATTATAATATAAAATTTTTTTATTGAAGGTTTAGATTAAAGTGATAGTAAACAATCTGCAACTTGTTTTGCTTATTTAATAATATAATTATAAAAAAAAAAATCTACATTAGAACATTATATTTTAATTGATTATAATAAAATTAATTAAAAAATTAAAAATACAATAAGATATATTATAAAAGTATATTAAAAGTTTTTAGAAAATATGAAAAAATAAAATACAAATAAGCAAAACTTAAAAGATTTTTTTAAAACTCAAAGTTTATTTCAAGAAAAGAAAACAAATATAAAAATATTATTTATTAAACTATTTGTATATTACAGATTTTTTAACATCTTATTGAACATCTATTTTTATTAATTTTATTAAACAATTATGTCTATTATATAATCTATTTAATAGAAAAATTCTTTTGAAAATTTGTAAAATAATGAAATCCTTTGTATTAATACAAAAAGTTTATCAATTACTTAAAAGAAGTAATTTAATTTTAGATAAATAATTTTTATTTTATTTTAGATTTTAATTATATTTTATTAATCTTTATCTAATAATTATTTTTTTATTTATGTAGTATTAGATGATTAAATAGATCTGATAAGAAAATTTTTATAGAATTTTATATTTTATATTTTAGATGAAAAGAATATTTTTTGATATATATAGGATTTATTAAATTAAAATTATACAGGTAAATATTTTGCAAAAAAAATTAAAGTAATTTTAAATAATATTAGAATTCAAAGATTTATAGTAATAATTACAAATACTGATTCAAATATTAATTTAGCATAACAAATTATTACTTAAAAATTTTCTTACATTATCAACATCTGATGTATAGAATATTTATTGTCTCAATCTAATTACTAAAGATATTATAAATATGCATTTGCAACTAGAATCTTAACTAGTCAAATATAGTAACAGCTTATTTTTAAAAAAAAAAGCTATTTATCACATAAACTTCTTAAAGATAATATTAAGAAAAAGAAATTAAAAAGGAGGTCTAAAAATATATATTTATACAAGATAGACTACAGCTTATGAAAATGCTTTAATTAATATGTTATCTGAAACATATTAAAAGAAGTAATTAATGAAAATCCAAATGTAATGACCAAAGAAAATGTAAAAAATATTATAATACATAAAAGAAAGTATTTTCAAGATGTTCAAAATTTAGCAGCTAATAAAAGATTCAATTATTCAGTTAGAAGGGCAAAGGAATCAATCTTGCTGATTGTTTCTTTTCACTTGCACAACTAGAAGCTGATATAAAAAATATGTCAGAATTAGATCATAAAATGTTTTATCAGCATTGTATTAAAAGTTTTAATGATTGCTTTAATGATTTTGATTTTAATGAACATTTGCTTGCAGATTATTTTTATTTTATTAATCAATTTTTTTCAAATGAATTATTTATTTATAACAGTAAAAAATAATTATTTTAATAGATTAAATTTATTTAAATCACTATAGGAACTGGAATTGTTAAAAGTCAATTTATTCAGATATGTACTACAGTGGCTACAATTTGGTAACAAATGATGAATTATGATTATGCTAAGAAAAAACAATCATAAAGTTGGTGAAGTGCTCATGTCACAATTACGTAATTATCAATTACATCAGCCTTTTATATATCAGTAATCTGATGCAATTGCGCAGATTCATTCTTAAAGAAATTCAACAAGTTTTGAAAGATGCAGAGTTATATGAGGACGAAGAAGAAGTAAGCTCGGATGAAATTATGTTTAATGATCAGTCTAATGATGATTTAGAAGTAATTGCTGAAGAATCTTTGGAAATTGAGAAACATTGGATTTATCAAGATTTTTGCAAAATGCTATAAGTGGTAATGGAGATAATAATCGGGAAATAGAAGGTGAAATGAATGAACCAGTTGATTTGGAAGTTTTTAATCAAGAGGAGGTTATCAGAACTAGCAGCAATGTTTTTGAAATAAATATAATTTTTTTGTTTATAATAGAAATGTAAACGAAATAAATTAGTAATAAACTAATAATTGAACCATTAATGTAGATTTTATTAAAAAGTAAATGCAAAGTACATTTTATTTATTTTGTTTTAGGATTTTGTCTTTCGGATTATTTTAGACTTTAATTCAGCACCAGTTACGGGTTTCGTCGGTTTCGGAATTTGGCATCGGTTTCGGATTTCGGCATCAGTTTCGGGTTTGGGATTTCGGCATCGGCTATATGACGAAAGCCGAAACCTTTCGGTTCAGATCAAATATGTTTCGGCACCCAACTCTAAACTACATATATTTTGTTACAAATTCATTACGAACTCGAACCTACGAAACGCTAAATTAAATCGCTCGGTTAATGACTTGTAACAGAATGAAACAAGTGTCAATATGTATAAAGTGATTAACTTAATTTCTGATTATAACATTAATTTGTAAGCTAAAAATTTTATTAACAAAACGAAAAAATTTTCATTAGTATGATAACTTTTTAAATGCAGAAATGAATAAAATAAATAAATCCGGAAAGAATGGATCTAAAACAAATAAATATAATAAATCATCTATTGGTTTTTTTTTATTGAAATGTATATAGTAAAATTATGATAATTCTTGTGAAAGTTCAACCGAGATTTTTTGCATGAGCAATGTTCTTTCTAATGACATCACTTCTGAAGGAAGATACTGCTCCGATACTAATGGTAATTCCACATATGGTAAAATAATATATACCCATTTAATGATTGGATTTTTTCCAAGCATTTTTGATCGATCAAACATTACAATTAAGGAAATTGAATAACTTGAATAAGACGCGGTTAAGTGCCTAATATGGAAAGATCGGTAAGTTTACGAATATAATACATACACATAATCATTATATAACTTACCACCAAGCATGTAATTGTAGATTCGAGATTTTATTCAACCCCTTACAAAAATGATAATCAATATTCCATCCCAGGTATCCAATTAAAAATATTATAGTTCCTCGGAGCATTAATGATCTTATACTAGTTTCACCCTTTAAATTAATTACGATTGCAATTATATGCAGGTATACGCAGATTGATATTAAGAAGAAAGAACCTAAAATGAAAATGATGAGCGTCATGTCAAGTTCACGTAAAATGTTAAAAAATTTCCTACCTTGAAAGATATAAAATTCTAATAATTTCATGATTTTATTTTGATAATATCCTCCCAAAAATATTAATACTGTCGAAACAGTAAATCCCCATAAGAAGAGCATAGTTGGGAACCAATTCCCAAATTTTCTCTCTTTCTTGTTTTCATTTACCGAATAAAATAACACCAATATATAAAAGATCATTGGTATTCCATCAAAATGTTGTAACGGGAATAACAGCGTTCCGTGAAATAGAATTGACCCGAATCCTATAACGGTAATTCTAAAATTTTCATTAAAGCGTGAAAACGATTGGGTTTTAATTTCATGATATCATTGAAGATTATTTTTAAACTTACGTTCTAAAACATAATGTAAATCTATAATCAAAACCTTTGGCATGCATTATAGAGCCAAATATTCCCATGAAGATGAGACACAACGAAGAGATGGTATTATAAAATTCTGCGATATAGTAAGTTACTTCATAATTTTTCTCGCACCAATCTAGTAAGAGAGAAAAAAATGTGAACGAATTCGCGAAATTGTGATTTAAAAAGGAAAGGACGTGGATATCAAAAAGGGTTGATAAATAATTGTAAAAGGACACAAATATTATTAACTCACCAACTATTTAATGTTTTAAAATAAAGATCACATGAAAATTATTAATATATTATAACGTAATAAATAAAATTTAAATCTAAAAAAATTGCCAATACCTGTAGAAGTGGGTTCTCCCCAAAATCCATTAGTGGAATTCATTTTAAGTAATTAAATTATATTCTAAAGTTCAAGTTGAAGCCTCTATAATAAATTTAGATCAATGGATCAAAGAGAGGAAAAACTTGGTTATTTATAATTTTATACCTTTTCAATTTTTTGATACATCGAAGGCCCGTTCAGATTTAACTTTAGGCAAGATCTTTGTGTGCAACATGAACAAAACCCGAACGCTAAAAAGTTCGAGACGGATACCAATAAAAACAATAAACATATGAATTTTCTTGGAGTATTTCGTTTCATAATTTATTAATTATATATCGCTTCTTAACTCAATATTGCTTTCAGCTAATAAACTTTTTGTAAGTATTTCATTAAATACCTCATGTTTAAAAACATTATTCTGATTAAAAAAAAGAAAAATAAAAAAAAAAGACCATTTACATATACAGTCAACTCTTTCTATAACGAACCTCTTTATATCTAAATTTTAATAATTAATGGTTCATAGTAATTTTATAATGGGCGGTTTTTTTTTACTGTATACTTTAAAATCTTTAAAATATAATTTATAAAATTTTTTGAAATAATCAAATTAAAAAAAAAGAATTTTTTTTAACCCGAATGTGGCACAGCAAAAAGATAAGATGCATTATAAAAGATCTACAAATATGACAAACAAGTGATTAGCCTAAATGAAAAGGAAATGATATTATTATTAGCCATGATGATATGCATAACAAGCCTAAATTAAAGATGCTAAAAAAAGAATTGAAGGGAGGATTAAAAATAAAATAATATATTTATTTATAATTATAGGATTATTATATAATAATTAAGAAAATAAATAAATATAAAGATTTTCAAAAAAGTAAATAAATTAACATTAAATTATATTAGATAAATAATAATATTATTACTATTTTAATAGTAAACTATAAAATAAACAAATAAAGTATCAATATAAAGATGATTAAAAAGTAAAATAAATAATAGAATAAAATAATAGAACAAAATAAAAACATAATATATAAGTGATAAAATAAAAGTCTTATAATTCATATAAAAGTGTAAAAATTTAAGCAAATCTTTTAAAAAAATAGATAAAATAATATATAGCATTTGTTTTATTATAACAAATACAATTTATTAATAATAATTATATAAATATACATATAAATAAAAAAATCTACTAAAGAAATTTTAGCTATTAATAATATAAATATAAAAAATATACTTAAAAAGTATTTAAAAATTAAAGAAATATTGATATGTCAAGTTTTCATAATAATAAATATATATAAATTTAAAGAAGAATAAAATGAATATAAGGAAAATGATATCAACTTTTTGCAAAACATTAAAGGATTTATAAATCATCTTTATAGTATAAAGAAAATCTTATTAGAAAAGTCTTTTATTATTAAAAATATTTTATTAAATAAATAATAAAAACTTTTAATACTTTTATAATAATATATATATATTTATATTATATTTTTAAAAATTATAAAATATATTAAAATAATATATACTTCAGCATAAATTGATGAATTTATTAATTAAATTATATTTTGACAAATATAATTATTTATTAATAATTTATAATAAATATCAAATTTACATAATTAATTTTAATATTATCAAAAACTAATATTTTACTTGAAAAATATATAAATCAGTTAAATATATATTTAATAATGTTATTTTATAATAAATAAATAAAATATATATATATTTTTTTTAAATAAAAAATTTTGAATAATTATCTTTCTAAGAAATATATATAAGATTTATATATTTTACTTTAAAATAAAAGATTTTTTAAAAAAAAAAACTTTTTTACTTTTATAATTATAAAAGAAAAGATTAATTATTAAAGGAAAAAATATATAAAACTGTTTTCAATTACAATTATATAAAAAATATAATATAAAAAGTTCTACAATAAAATTGTTACTATTATTAAATAGTTTAAAAATAAAATAATTGTTCAATAATATATATTATGATAAATATATTATTATATTAATGTGTTATATTGGACTTTTTCCAATTGACTTTTTTGACTTTTTTTTTTTTCACTTATTCTTTTATTTAAGTTATATAGATTAATATAATAATTTAAATTTTATTTGTTAACTGAAAATTATTCTGATTATTTTTTTTATTTTTTTATTTTTCTGATTTCTTTTTTTCTTTTACTATCTTCTTTTATTGATCATTTTGTTTTATTTTTTATTTTATTTTTTTTCATTTTTTTTGTTTAATTTTTTTTTAATTTTTAATTTTTATTTATTTTTATTTTTATTTATTAATTTAAAAGTGAACCTTAAGAAAAATATACTTTAGAAATATTTTTTGATAATTTTTCATTCTCTCAGATAGGATAAGTTTTTCTTTTTATTGTTATTTTTTAGGTAAATATATTTTTTTTTACTAATATTTTTTCGTCATTTAACTTTATATTTTGTATTTGTAACTTCATTATATTTTTAATTTTTAATTTTATTATTATTTTATTTAATTTATTTTGTAATTGTAATTAAGCAGTTTTAATTAATCAGAGTTTATTAATTGAATTTTACTTAGTTTAATATTTTGACATTGTAAAAGTGTAAAATATTAATGTTGAAGTAATACTAATTAATTTGATATTATTAAATAAAATACTTGTCACAATTACTTTCTACTTATAATACTAAATTATTTATAAATACAGTTAACTCTTAATATAGTGAACTCTTGATATAACAAATTTTTTGAACAAATATAATAAAAATACTCTTGTTATAGCAAATTGACCAATAAAATCTCTTAAAATCTTCACTATAATCTAATAGCAAAGTTTAGATTTAGGACATAGAGTTCGTTATAATAAGAGTTGACTATATATAAATGAAAGAACTGAATACTACAATAATCTTTATAATTTTCACATTTTTAAAATATAATCATTTACTCTATTTACAATCTTATGAAACCTTACACTAGTATTTTACTAGATAAGGAAAAATGAAAAAGAGTATCAAGCAATGAGAAAATAGCTAAACAGATATATCAATATGTTAATAATCTTTAAAAAATTTTTATTATTAAGTGATTAATTAATTACTCTTGCGTTTTATATTTTATAGGCAAAATGTTCAAAAATAATAGATTTCTTGTCAGCCCTAGATTTTTGTGAAAAGGACTACTAGAGCCTTATATTTTTAGAAGCTCTTAACAATAAATTTATATTAAAGGTAAACGAAATGTTCAATTTGACTTTAGCAAACCTTTTGCAAATAAAAACTTTCAAAAAGTAATAAGATAGCTATATTTCTGGGATCTGGTAATGTCCAAATTTATTGCAGAAAGAAAACCTATCTTAGGACAGCAAATTGCATAATATCTTAATAATAAAACTCTTTACAGATTTCGTCTTTATATGTTCAATAGAAATACAGTAGCAGTTATAAGTATCTGACTGCCTCTAACTCCGGCTACAAGTAAGTAAATTCAAAATTTTTTTTATTTAAAAAATACATAACCAACTAACTAAAATTAATACATTATGTAGTCATCATCTAACTCTATAAGTATAGCTATATGCCTTTTTATGCTAGCTACCAAATTCGTGATAAGTATAGGTGATAATCAGTTTCATTCTTTTGTAAGTTTCCTTTTTAACCCTCTAATTGATCAAATTTTTTTTTTGTATATTAATTTTCATTAACCTCTAAATGTTTTCTATAGGGTTTTAGTCTGGAGACATTGATAGCTAAAAAAGTACCTCAATGCCATTTTTTTCCTTTCATTTTTCGTGATTTTTGATCGATGCTTTAGATCATTATCTTTTTGCAAGATCCAATCTATATTACCTTTACCAAAAAGTTTAGAGGTAAAAGCCAGAAGATCCTGCTCATAAATAGTACACATAAATTTAGCATGAAAGTTTCTCTGAAAGCAAAATAGCTTACCAAATCCAGAAGCAGAAAAATATTCCTAAACATAAACTTTTGGTGGATGCTTAACAGAACGAAACATTTTTTCTACCAGAAAACTGCCAACCCTTTTTTTTGATATATATAATTGAAATGTACTCTCATCTGTAAAAATAACTCAATTCCAATCAAAATTCTTATGTTTTTTTACCCATTACAACTTTTTCTTTTGATGGTCTTCTTTAAGCATAAGTTTAGAAATTTCATTACTAAACTTTCTTCCAGACTTACAAAGACGTTACCTTACTATTTCTATACTAAGCCCAACACCTCTTTTTTCTAATTTTTCTTATATTTAAATGGCTGTTATATTATGTTCTTTCTCTGCCATCTTTACAATCTTGTCATCTTGTTTTACAGATATTACACAAGGCTACACCAGTCTTTCTGAAGTACTTAGGTCCCAATTTTCATAATATCTTTTAACCCAATAAATAGCTGTAGACTTACTACAATATATCTGTTTAGTAATAAATCTAAAACTAAACTTTGGACCAGCTAGGTGTTCACGTAAAAGACAATTTTATATTATTTCTCTAAAGAAAGTTCTATTTTTCAAGCGAAAGTTTGATGATCATCTAAATTTTTTTTTGTATCATTGATATTTATAAATTTACAGGTGATTATGTATTGTATTACATTATATTTCTGAAAAATTTAAAGGGTAGTTATATAATAATTTTGGATGATCTCAAGCGGTCAGATACTTATGACCGCTACTATAAAAAATAATGAAGTAAGTATTATAAATTATAATTTACTTAATATTTTATTTTTATTTATTATATAATATTAATTAATAAAATTTAAAGGAATATTTAGATAATATAAATGAAATTGATATTCAAATGGATGAAGTAAATGTAAACAAAATAGAATATTTATCTATGAATGAGAAAATCTCAGAAGAAGATAATGAAGATTATAATATTGATAAAACTGATGATGAAGAAAATGAGGATGAAGATGAAGATAAAGATATAGATGATATAATGCAAGTTGATATTGAAGAAGGATTAAGTAAAGAAATTATAAAAGACCTTAAACTTTTGTATT